GGAAATCAATGTGAGTCAACTCCCTGTATAGCTATCCTTATCTCAACTAGCAAAAACCCTTGGTCCTTCCTATTATTTCTTATACTCTCTCTTCAACAAAATTAGAGATAAGGGCAAAATAGTTTCAGCCTGGTAGCAAGGGGGTGGGGGGAAGAGGGAGGAGGTGGGGGGGTAAGGAAGGGGGCAGGGGAAAGGGGGGAGAAATGACCCAAACATTGTATGCACATATGAATAAAATAAAAATTTAAAAAAGAAAAAAAATATTTGTATGTTGAATATTATATAAGTCATAAAATATGTCACTATCACATATTACAGAAATCATTGAGGAAGCTAGATGTTCTAGAATATGAAATCTAAAAATCATATTCACATATTTTACTTAAAATACATACAAATAATTTTAATATCTTCATTCTGTACTATGTATCACATACTCTAAGCATTGCAATAAAGCTGTAAGGTAAGAGACACTACAGTTCACAGAAGTTAAAGAATGAAAGGTAAGAGTTGGCTCAGTTGTAGAGGCAATGGTGGGGAGACACTGCACAGTGGGTGGGCTCCTTCTTTCCCAATAAATTTACAACAGTTTTCATGTGAATTCATCTAACTAAAAATGTAACTGATTGAAAACATTATGCTAACTGTGCAAAAACAACAGCAAAAAGTTTTGTGATGCTTTCTAGAACCAAGAACCTTGTTACCATATATCTTCCACTAAGTTCCACTAAGTAGATAAAAATCTCAGGAAGTTATCCTACTTCATACAGAAAGCAAAATAGAAAATAAAGAACCATAGCCAGATCTGTCTTATTCCTAAGTCTATGCACTTATCTCTTGTGCTATTTAACAGTGGACTCTTACCAATGAGAAATGTCAATGTAAAGATATTTTTAAAGCATTTGAGTATGAAGTGGGCTAAGATAATGACATCAAATAATTTAAATAGGAAACCTTCCTAAGGTTACCTAACATTTAAGTTCAGAAAGTAAGATACTCCTTCAACTTTTCCAAAAGATGTCAACTTCCAAAATAGTAAATTAAGTCACAAAATCTATCAAGTCATGGGGAGTAGGGTGCCAAAAGATGAGAGATAATAAAGTCTAGGTGTTTGCCTCCCTTTAACTAAAAAGAGAAGAAAGCATGGAGACTTCCACATTGAAAGTTTTCCTTTATCAATGATTTCCAAACATTAGAGCTGGTGGTTCTAAAGATGGGTGCCTGAGTTCCCATATTCTATAGTAACAGGACACAGACTCAAAAGCAGAGAAAACTGCAAGGTCAGATGATCTCCCGAAGGTGAGAGAAATCTCAAATTAGTTGTGAAAAAACCAGCCGCCTCACATTCATCATAGAAAACAAGTTCTACCTATGATCAATGCTTTGAAAAATCTCATTTATGATGGAAAAATAAACTAAACTTACACTGACATTTTTTATTTTAATAAAATATTCCAACCCCAATGTAGGCTTGAAATTTCTTTTTTTAAAGGGAGGATAGTTGATGTGGTTTTTTTGTGTGTTTTACTTCCAACAGTTACTGTTTTCCTTTTTCAAAAGAGTTACCTTAGAGTGTAGAGCACTCGGCCATCATTCCAAATTCTCAGCATCCTATTGGGAGTGGTTATCCAGTGTGCATCAGCCTTCTTAGAGTTCCTGAAGAAAGTGTCTGGAATCCAGATCTTCCCCACCATATTGCTATTCAACCGGAGGACTTTAATGGTGCTGTTAAATTTCAAGCGTCTGTCATACCATGTTTGGGCAAAAAATATATCAATTGTATATTCCTGTTTTAAAGGAAAATGTAAAATGGAACATTTTTAATACAATGAGAATGCATTTTAGAGTATTCGTGTGCATATTACCAACATGAGGCAATGTTACTTTGATGTTGAATCATGCAAAAGGAAGCAATAGTTTTGCTGATGAGGCTACTACCCCACACATTTTTTTGTCGACTAGTTTGATACTTTTATGAAAACAATAGACCTGTCTATATGAATTCTGACCAAATATCTAGCCCTGGTATAATCCTTCACTTTCCATGCTTATAAAGCAGAATTTGCTGTGCTATTTTGAGCCAACTATTTCTTTGCTATGGAGAGCTGTCCTGTGCATTGTAAGACACTTAGCAGGACCCTTGGCTTCTAGCTTCCAGACAACAGTAACAAAACCTCCACCCCACCTTCACCCTCACCAAATTGTGACAACTGAAATTACCTCCAGACATTTTTACATGTCTCTTAAGGAACAAAAATTTCCTTGGAATTTTATGCAGCCATGAAGAAGAACGAAATGTTATCATTCGCTGGTAAATGGATGGAATTGGAGAACATCATTCTGAGTGAGGTTAGCCTGGCTCAAAAAACCAAAAATCGTATGTTCTCCCTCATATGTGGACATTAGATCAAGGGCAAACACAACAAGGGGATTGGACTATGAGCACATGATAAAAGCGAGAGCACACAAGGGAGGGGTGAGGATAGGTAAGACACCTAAAAAACTAGCTAGCATTTGTTGCCCTTAACGCAGAGAAACTAAAGCAGATACCTTAAAGCAACTGAGGCCAATAGGAGAAGGGGACCAGGAACTAGAGAAAAGGTTAGATCAAAAAGAATTAACCTAGAAGGTAACACACACGCACAGGAAATCAATGTGAGTCAATGCCCTGTATAGCTATCCTTATCTCAACCAGCAAAAACCCTTGTTCCTTCCTATTATTGCTTATACTCTCTCTACAACAAAATTAGAAATAAGGGCAAAATAGTTTCTGCTGGGTATTGGGGTGGGAGAAGGAGGGGGCGGAGTGGGTGGTAAGGGAGGGGGTGGGGGCAGGGGGGAGAAATGAACCAAGCCTTGTATGCACATATGAATAATAAAAGAAAAATGAAAAAAAAAAAGAAAACTGACTAATATAATATCAAATATAAAACAAAACAAAAAAAAAATTTCCTTGGTTCAGAGTCACTATTGTAGAGTGAAACAAAGTCCAGAATACTCAAAAAAGTATAAACTTGGAAATTTGGTTGTTCAGTTGCTGTATAATAAAATATGGATTCCAAACAACCTAACTGGTTAGGTCATGTAAAGATAGAAAAGGGGAAGAGACATGAAGTGCCTTGCACCACAGCTGAAAGATTGCAAGTTTCCAATGAAAAGTAATTCACTTATTTTTTACTGTTTTTTTAGTGCTGCTTTTCCTTTCTCTAAATAAGATTAAAGTAACCAATTGAAAACGATTTTTACTATTGAAGCAATCTCTACCACAAAGCATGTTCTTAAATGTTATAATAACAAATGACTAAAGAGATTCCCCTCCAATGTATATCATTAAATTAGAAAACAGTTGACTTCCATCAAAGAAAAGCTAATATGGCATGAAATTCAGACCACCACACATGGAGTAAGAGCATCGGAGTTCTTATGTGACTATCACATTTACAGGGAGTCTTTAGGGGAAATACATATATTCTCTAATCTCATTTTCCTTATCTTCACATATAAACAATTAACCCAAACACATACTTAGGCATCTCCAGATCTAATAGACTAAGATTCTTTGCTTATCATCACCACCTTCATTATCATCACCATCATCACAGCTGTTAATAGAAGGGTTACCATCACTTCATTCCTTTATTGCTCATCAAGTTCTTATTTTGTGTCAGTTCTCTGAACATTTTTCATGCATCACCTCATTTAATAAACAACTTTATGTGAACAAGATAAAGGCTCAATTAATTATTATAAACAGCACTTTAATTATTTGGCATCTACAAGATTCCAAATAACTATTCTAATTATGTCTTGCATTATTTTATAACTCAACTTTAATCAGTTGTATAAATAGGAAAACAAGATAAAATAACAATAACTCAGTATTCTTAGAATGTGAATGTGGCATAAGAATATAGTTATCCACCTTTCCTAGTTCCAGTTCCCCATACACAATTTCACATTGAAAAACACAAAGCACCAAGGAAAGTATTCATTTGTTCAAGAATATACAGACTGTGCCTTATCCACGCTATTCTGTATTGTTTCTCTGCACCACCAGCTATCATGTGTCATTGTGACTGACTGCCTTTTACCTGCGAAGGCCAGGTCACCTTTGTTCACCATTTAGTTCCCTACTTGAAGTCCATAAGTAATGAGAAGGAAATGTATTTTATGAAATACTTGTCAATTAATTACAATGTGCCAGGAAATAAAGTAATTTAGTAATTTCAGATACATTTTGGCCAAAAGAAAATGCAAAAGTTTTAGTCTCAATACCAGTGTTTCACAAACTGTGGGACAGTTATGGGGGACCATTATCCCTATAACAAATGTTCTAACTTTAAAAAAGCTACCTGCAAGAATAAAGTTACATGATTTCCTACAGATTCTCCTTAAATATTTACACTTCATATCAGAATGCTACAACTGTAACATGTAAGAATGGTTAATAGTTACACAGCAAATTTATTTACATGATTATGCAAGTGGTGCTATATATTTTAACTTTGTAATTGAGAGCAGCAATAGTTTTTTTTAATCTCTCTCTGTATGAACAGAATGTCATTATTACTAGTTTGATAAAAACTGTTTCAAATCATAGCATCACCACATTTTATTACATTATTATATTTTACTATGCATTAGAGTAATGTTATATTACATTCTATTCTTCTTTGTTTTATTATGTCATGGACTTAGTCTAGTTTCTTATTATTTCAGATGTAGGTAGAAAATGTTATTCAAGCACAGTGACATTTATTATTACAACTGATGCTCTGTTTCCTCTGATAAATGTCTCTGATTTGAAGCAAAACTATGCCAACCTAACAGCATCAATATTCTAAAGAGTAGTGAAGTACTGTATTTAGTTGTAATTAGCAATTTGCAAGTTCACAGTGGTTATAAAATTTCAATGGTAGAGCCTAATTACATACATTAATTTTACATATGAATACATTCAATCCCTATAAGAAAAAATTCTTAAAATTTAATTATCTTCAAATTACAAAAAAGAAAATAGCCCTAAAAATTAGTTTTCTCTTCCAAAATCTTGAGCTTTGCTTTTTGGTATATTCCTTGCTATTTCCATGCTAAAATAGACAGTGTTATTATGAAACTCACCATGTTGATAGCATTCACTGGACCAATACTATTCACATACATGTCTGTGTGAATTAATGTTGGTTTCACTGCAAAGAGAATCATACGTAGATATGCTCATTATGAGAGGTAACAGAATTTTATTATTTTAGTCTTTATTTTCCAGATTTGTTTAGATGCATTAGAAGTGATTTATTTATGTCATTTAGTATCACTACAGTTGCATAAAAATTTTGTTTTCAAAGATATATCTCTTTTTAAGCATGCAATTACAATAAGCAAGCATAGTAGAGTTTTTAAATTGATTACCCTTTTCTATATAAAAATCAAAAAATGAGAAGACAGTCTTCTTAGCTTTTCTTCACCCTTCCCTCAGATAGCTTGACTTCTAGCATTTTTCCTCCAAAGTCTGAAATCTATTTGTGCATTATAACCTGATTGACCCACATAGAAAAATAATTACTTCTTGACCCAGAAAAAAATATGTAGTAGAAATTTGAACTAAACATAAGGAGCAATAAGAAATATGAATCGTTGTGGAAATATTCCTCCTGATGATCCTTTTTATGACCACTTCATCCTCACACACCTCTAGCCAACCTACCAAGTCCATCTTCCTTGATGACTTGCTGGATGTTGTGACCACATAGATACTATGAAGAAACCATATGGAAGCATGTCACACACCTATTTGTTAGACAGGACTAATATTAAAAATCTGTAGTGTAGCATCCACAAGTAAATTAATGTGTTCCATTTTAATTTAACACTTAATGAACAACAGATTCATAATATCTTTCTGGGCTGTGATTCAACAACTATATGTGTCTCATTTTTATTCATTTTCTTTGAAATTATGACATCCAAACACTCTGTGGCAGATGGAATTCTTCAACAATACCGACATCCACAACTTTGCTTTCTCTTGCATAAATCTATTCCTCTGCTTCTCAACTTTGGGTATGACCAGGCTTATTTAGGCTGATAATAAATAGACAAAAGTGAGTGTACTAATTCTAAGCCTAAGCATAAAGCCTGTAAGTTTATACTTTCTCTCTCATTCTACTCTGTTCCCATGAGAAGAATTCTCTTAGATAGGGTGCTGGTTCCAGGAGTCGAATGAGAGAACTTGGAATATTGGTGCCCTAAGAAAGGAGCCCACCTCAGCTTATCTTAGATGAACTTAACCTCAACTGATATGTTGATCCAATATTTATTTTTGTCCACCACTGAGATTTTGTGGGTTGTTAGTTATGCATCAATAGGTAATCAACATACCCTCTTTACTATTACTTCTCAGTTTTTAATTCTACTTTATAAGAAGTTGTTATTCTTTTCTATAGCCTTTATATAGAGTATTTGGGAAATTTGGCATTTCTAGCTCTCAAGCTGCAATTAAAAATGGTATTACTTCTTGTTGAATTTTCCAATACCCCTTTCACACCTCGGTTGAAATGTTAGGTATGTACTTTTACTTACTTTATAAAGCATAATAGAAGGATAATTTAAATCGTTCTGGCACTCGAAATACGCCACTCTTTCTTCTGATAAAGTAAACATGTTTAAGTGTACTCTATTGTACACCACAAAAGGTTTTAACATACCTCCTATGTCGGGTCGAAGTTTGTTATCATATCCCTCCAGCAGATTGTTTAAAATGACAGTGACATCACCCTCTGGAACTTTTGGAGTCAAGACCCATGTTTTATTAGAAGCATAATCTTCATAGTCATCATCTGACTTTTGGCTAGTGAAACTAAGAAAGTCAACAAACAAAAACACTGGTAAGAAACACATTACTTTGAGCTTGACCACCCACAAACCACTGGTGGAAAAGGGAGAATGAGACAGTACAATGGGACTGCTTGAAACAGTGAAAATTTCCACCTGATAGTTAATTTAATTAATCTGTGCAGATGGAGCTTAAAATGTATTAAAGTGTTCCCTCTGGGTTTCTTCAGAGTGCTCTGCCCTCCCCTCTATAAATATAGCATGTGTTATCACTTATTTTTACCTTTCCTATATTTGATGTTCTCTACACCCACCTGCACAGACTCATGAAAGACATATTAACAAAAAAACTATATTTATGTGAAGGCGACCCTTAAATTATCATAACATAGCCTAAGAATTCAGGCATTATGTCTACCTCTTCCTCTTTTGAGAAGTTAACTTGCTCCAGCCTATTAATGAAAGTAAGAGAGTGATAATTACATTCACTCCCACAAACCACCAGCTATGCTTCTCCCCCCTCAATGAACCTCTAAGGAGAGCTCAGTCTTGCTGTTCTTTTCTTCCTCCCAGGCCGTGTGTATTTGTATTTTTTTCCCCTTATTTGCACTGAAGGCAGGGCGGTTCATTTATCTTTGGTTGTTAAGAACCTGGTATTATGAAGAAAAATGTAGTTGCAGACTTAAAGTCACCCTTGATTATAGCAAAGTTTCCTAAGCTGGAATTTAACACAAATGATGATATACTGCAATCATATAAACAAAATTACCTAGTTTGACTGATCAGGATCATATAATATCATATAATTCAGTTTTATATGCCCAAACCCCATAGGAAAAAAAACATAATTGTCATGAAATCTAACTAAAAGTGAATTTGAAAGATGAATCAAATTCCTAGCACTTTCTTGTTCCAGGGCCCAAATTCCAGCCCATTCTTTTCCCATACACAAGATAATATTTTCCAGATATAGGACCACTGTAAACCCTTGCAAAAGCTGCTATTTCCTTTTTATCAGGAGCAGTGAATCTGCAGCTTAGCATGAAATAGTTATAAAATACAAACTTAAAATACGAAGTTTCCCACACCCTCTCTAACTTCAGTCTGTTTTCCTAAAGGTATGGTATAGACTGGTTCATGTCAGAAATCAAATTGCCATACTACCCTGGATGTATACATATATTTTTTCCCTCAAACTAGATTTTTCACCTTTCTTCAATCATACTCAGTTTTTGAAGCATTTATACACACATAATGGTGGCACTGATCAGTTTGCATCATGGCTGCCAGGATGCAGAAGAGCAGTGCACTGGGGATCCAGTTCAACCTCCACCACCAGCAGCCTACTACCTCCAAATAGGTCCTACCTCCATGGTTTCCACAGTCTCTCAAAACAGTACCATCACCTGAGAACCCAGTGTTGAAAACATGAACCTGTGGGGGACATTTCATATTCAGACCATAACAAATATCATTGTAATAGAAGTTTACTAACATTTAAAGCATTCTTGTAAAAGTGACTTTCAAAAAGTCTCTCTCTCTTTTTCTCCCTCTCCTCAGACACATGAATCCTATTATGTCGTCCTTAATGGAAGGAATATATATTATATTGTTTTATTATAGCTCCTCCTTTTACTAATAAATAAACAATCCAAGAGTGTTGGTAATGTGTTACTATTATAACAAGTAAAACTAGGAGAGAACAGAAATTCTACTTTCCAGATTTGCACCAATAATTTTCTGACTTACCACTTATTGTATGCCAAAAAAATAGTCATATTGATTATTTCAAATAATAATATTGGAGACACAATTTTCACACTTCAGGATGTCTACTTTCTCAACAGAGAATTTAAGAACTTATACAAGGGAGTTACTGGGTTTGCTTTCTGGTTTCATGTCTTGTGTTTGTCACTATTTTATGACCTTGGACAACGTACTCAACATATCTAAATCTCCAAGTCATCTTTAAAATAGAGTTCACACTTTACTCATGTCATATTCTCATATAAGATTAAGATAATTCTTATGAAGTGCTCATTTCCATTATATTAATTGCTATAGTGATCACTTCTAGGTTTATAACCACAGCTCTAACCATGTCACTAAAATCTGAATCTGTAAATGCTACTCCAAACTTTTTATATAATATGGTCTGAGAAGAACTAAAAACAGATGTTTTCTAGGAATAAAAATAATGAGCCCCTGGATCAGAAATAAGTGAAGTTTAGCTTCTCTATAGTCTCTCAGCTGAGGTGTAAATTAAAGGGAATGATGCATAAACTGGGATTGCTTCCAGCTCTGTCTTTAAAAAAAACAAACCTTCCCTTGTTCAAGACTGACTTTTTCTTTCTCAGTATTTCTTTGGGGACGAGGACCTGTTCTCAGGTGGGTTACCTGGGGATAATAAACTCTGGCCAGTAGTGAGGTGTCCTGCGGAATTATGAATTTTGAGAGAACACCTGGTCAGAAACAGATTGCAAATGATTGAAGAAAATTGATTTAATTGGTGTGTGGGCTAAGAGCCAAAATAAATGTGAATGTCAGAACTAGGGCACCAATTGGTCCTTTTTGTAGAAACAGTGAGGATTTAGGGGTTATTACTGCTTCTGGTGTTCTTTAGTGTAAAAAAAACCATACATTTCTTATAGAGGGATAAAAATGAAATTGAAATTGCTCTTAAATTAGTTCACCATAATAAAAAGAAAACATTTTCTCTTGTCATCGGAGAGATACTATCTGAGAAACAGTGTTTGAAATGGTTATGGGTTTGTTTTTTTTTTTAAAAACATTATCAAGAAAATGTCTGTCCTAGGAATTGAGACCAAAGAAAATGCTTTTGTACATTCATCAGACCAAATAAAATCATCCAAAATAAGCAATCGTTTCAGCTCTTTTCCCCTTAGGAATGTAAATTAGTTTATGGTTGAGCCCAATAAAAGCATAAAGCTAGTAACATTGGAATTTCATAAACTGGCCATTGAAGATACCCATCATATAAGCTCCTTGTGCTGAGTAAAGTTTGCAATTTAATTTAAGTGGTGTGATGAGCTGCCTCATTCAAATGCTTCCTCTGTTAGGGAAGCAATACACTGGCAGGAACATACATAGTTCATTTCAGAGGATGCTGTCCAGCTGCTGAGAAAGCAGGGGTTTGGTAGAAAATGTAGGAGCAGACATGGTGGGACTTTATACCCATAAGAGGGCACGGGGAGCTCAGTCTGTGATGCTGGGTGGGTACTCCGCTCTCTACTGTCAGGAGAATTGGGAGTTCTTGCAAGACATAGTCATATTTCGTGAGCATGGGACCTGGAGGCAACAGCTGATTCTTTTAGTAGAACATTTCAGTGGCCTGAGGCATTCTTTAACCACTAGTAAGATTGAGTACGTGATTTCCACAGTACCTGTTGGAGAAAGGTGGTCTATACACAGGTATATATACATGAGTGTGGGTATGCAAAAAGGGTAGAATTAAGGCCAGTAGGTGAGATACTCTGAGAGTGAATTGCTCTACTCAAGATGACTTTCTCATTTCACAAATAATCCAGTTCTTTGATAGTCACTAACAGCTGCTAATAAAGGTGTCTATTGCACAGACATTAATATCACCAGCATGTACTGGCCAATAAAGTCTGTTATTCCAAGTAAAAAATAAATGTGTCCATTTGACCAACTCAATGATCAGAAATACATATTCCAGTGTGTAAAATGAAAGTGTTTATTTTAATAACACCCACCAAAGAACCTATTAAATAAATATGATTGTAATTTTACCAGGAAAGATGAATTTTGATAACAAGTAGCAGAACATTCAGACTAAATTGAGAGGCACTGTCATGAAAACAGAGAGCTGAACCCCTCAAAACCTCTCTAAAAGAGTGAGATATCCACCTGTCTAAAAGCAAGTCTCATTTTGTATGTCACTAGCCTGATGGCTTGATATATACGAAACCAATATGTACAGACATAAGATGGGATCTGCTGAATACTTTAGTTTAATTTGAATACTTTTGTTTAATTACTTTTCTTAACAGTGTTATCAAAGTTAGAATCAGCTTTCTCAAAAGTGTGTGTGATTCACAAAAACCAAATGAAAACTGGACTATTTGAGAAGGTATGAAGGAAAATATGGAGATGACAACCACAATACTCACTAAGGACAAGGAGCTAAGTAGGAAAAAAAAAAATGAAAGATAAGCCATGCTCTAGGATTATGACTGAAGTCCATTTTCTCTCAGTTAGCCTTCATGGTTTTTTGTTGTTTTGTTGTTGTTGTTGTTGTTGTTTTAACTATTCTCAAAAAGTTAGAGGATGTGGAGAGGTTAGGGCTCATATGATGTAGAGAAAAACTGGTATTATTTGCAAATGATGATTATCTCTGTATGCTATCACCAGAAATTCTATCCCTAGATTTATTTGGAAAAGATATGCACGTGCATGTCTACTAAAAGATGTGTTTAAAAAAGCTTATAGTTACATCACTTTATTTGTAGTAGACAGAGATGGATACAGCCCAAATCAACAGTAAAATGAAGAAGTCATATATTCACCCAATAAAAACACTATAGATCAATACAGCTAATGAATTATTGCTACATGTAAGAAAAATGAATCTGAGAAATAAAAATCTGAGCAAAACATACTGTACAAACCTCTGTGTACAAATATGTTACATTCCTGTTTATATAAAATTTAATGACAGGAAAAATTTCAGTGTAATTTTCAAACTAAGCACAGCAGTTACTCTGAGGTAAGAAGAGAACGAGGACAGAAATTGGGAAACAGATGAGAATGTTTTGTGGGATTTTGTTAATGTTTATTTCCAGGCTCAGTTGGTGATTACATGGCTTTTACTTCATATTGTGATAATCCATGGAGATGTGTTTCTGTCTTATACATTTTCACACGGTTTATTTTATGAAAACAAAAAAGTTTAAAATTACTACATTTAGATGTGAAGGTTAAAAGCAGAACATCAGACTCCCAGAGCAAGAACGGAGTGTTGTCTTCTAAAACTTTCTAAAT